CGTAGCTGATGGCTCCCATACATCGGTTGCGGGTTCTGGTAACATAAAATTACAGCCTTCCTTACATCTCAAAGATGCTCTTCATGTCCCTAAACTTTCTACTAATCTTCTTTCTATTCATAAAATCACAAAAGATTTAAATTGCACTGTAACCTTCTTTCCTACTCACTGTGTTTTTCAGGATCTCGCCACAGGGAAGACGATTGGGGGTGCTAAAGAGCAAGGTGGGCTGTATTATCTGGTGTCACAATCTCCTGCAACTCATGTTAAGGATCACATCTTACTGTCACATGGCCAGTCAACTGCTGATTCTCTGATTTGGCTTCATCATAAGCGCTTGGGACATCCTCCATTTAGTTTACTCAAGTCTTTATTTCCGTCTTTGTTTTTGTCTAAGTCTGTTGAGTCTTTTCATTGTGATGTTTGTGAGTTTGCTAAGCATCATCGTGTGTCTTTCCCTTCTAGTATTACTAAAAGTGTTGAACCTTTTGATCTTATTCATTCTGATGTTTGGGGTCCTTCTAAGGTCCCTCATTCTTCTGGAAATAAATGGTTTGTTTCTTTTATTGATGATTGCACTCGTGTAACTTGGGTTTACTTAATGCATGAAAAGTCTGAGGTACCAAAACTGTTCTTTCAATTTTATAAAATGATTGAGACTCAATTTTGTAAAAAAATCAAAAGACTAAGGACAGATAATGGTACTGAATATGTCAATCACTCTTTTTCCCAATTTATACAAAATCAAGGTATGATTCATGAACTTACTTGTGTAGACACCTCTCAACAAAATAGGGTTGCTGAAAGGAAAAATCGTCACCTTCTTGAAGTTGCTCGTGCCTTATTGTTTCAAACACATGTACCCAAATGCTATTGGGGAGATGCCATTCTTACTGCAGCATTCTTGATCAATCGTCTACCCACTCGGGTTCTCGATCATGTAAGTCCTATTCACTCCATGACTTCTTTTTTTCCTTCTGTTCCAACTTTGCAAAGTCTTCCTCCTCGAGTGTTTGGGTGTGTTGCCTTTGTTCATATTCATAAACAGCATCGCAGTAAGTTGGATCCTAGGGCTCTTAAATGTGTCTTCCTTGGATATGCTCCTGATAAGAAGGGCTACAAGTGCTATCACCCTGGAAGTCGGAAATTTTTTGTTTCTATGGATGTTACATTTCAGGAATCTGAGTCCTTTTTCCAAGGTCCTCATCTTCAGGGGGAGAATGATTCACCAGAAGACTCATCACCTTCCTTCTTTGAAACTTCAGTGTCTACTCCTTCACCTGTGTCAGTGTCTCTTCCTCTTGTTCCTGTTCCTAATGTGTCTATGTCTGATCCTCCTGTAACTGATCCTCCTATGACTGATACATCAAGTACACAAGAGATACGGAAGATTGTAACACCTGAATTGGTATATCAAAGAAGGAAACAGCCCACATTGCCTCAACAGCAACCTCAATCGTCAGAACCACTGGTAAGTCCTGAATCTCATATTTCTGATCATGATACTTCTAATGACTTACCCATTACTACTGCTTCTGATGATTTACCCATTGCTTTAAGAAAAGGAAAAAGATCTTGTTCCAAGAAATCTTGTTCTTCCTGTCCCTCTTGTACTCAATACCCTATCTCCCATTTTGTTTCCTCTGCTAATCTTTCTGTGCAGCACAAAAGCTTTGTTTCAGCACTAGATTCTACTTCAATCCCAAAATTAGTACATGAAGCTTTGAAAGATGGGAATTGGGCTCAAGCCATGCAAGAGGAGATGAATGCGTTGGAGAAAAATAAAACATGGGAGGTTATTGATAGACCCAACGGAAAGAAAGCAGTAGGGTGCAGATGGGTTTATGCCCTAAAATATAATTCTGATGGCACTCTTGAGAGATACAAGGCTCGATTAGTCGCCAAAGGTTACACTCAAACCTATGGCATTGATTATGAAGAAACCTTTGCTCCAGTTGCAAAGATGAATACAGTGAGAATCTTGTTGTCCCTTGCTGCCCATTACAATTGGGATATAAATCAATTTGATGTGAAAAATGCTTTCCTCAATGGTGAGTTAGAAGAAGAAGTCTACATGGAAATCCCGCCTGGTTTTGATTCTGTGAAGGGGGAAAATAAAGTTTGTCGATTAAAAAAGGCCTTGTATGGATTGAAGCAGTCACCTCGTGCTTGGTTTGGACGGTTTACTAAGGTTATGATGACCTTAGGATATAGACAGAGTCAAGGAGATCACACTCTTTTCTTCAAGCACTCCCAAAACGGGAAGCTTACTGTGCTCCTTGTATATGTTGATGATATTATTATCACAGGTGATGATTTTGTGGAGAGACAGATTCTGCAGACACGGCTTGCCTCTGAGTTCGAAGTCAAAGACCTTGGGAAACTGAGATATTTCCTAGGGATAGAAGTAGCTCATTCAAGCAAAGGAATTTTTATCAGCCAAAGGAAATATGTTCTTGATCTTCTCAAAGAAGCAGGAAAGCTCGGGTGTAAACCCTCTAATACTCCTATTGAGCAGAATCACAAGATGGGCTATGAAGAAGAGAGTCCTCCAGTTGATAAAGGACAATATCAACGGCTAGTTGGGAAATTGATATATCTGGCCCATACTAGACCAGACCTAGCTTATGCTGTTAGTGTTGTCAGTCAGTTTATGCACGATCCAAAGGAAAAACACATGCAGGCAGTAGAGAGAATTCTTCAGTATCTTAAAGGTACTCCTGGTAAAGGATTGTTATTCCGACGTGATGGCAATCTATCTTTAGAAGTCTACACAGATGCTGATTATGCTGGATCCGTGACTGACCGTCGTTCTACCACTGGTTATTGCATGTTTCTTTGCGGTAACTTGGTGTCATGGAGAAGTAAGAAACAAGATGTGGTTGCCAGATCAAGTGCAGAAGCTGAATTTCGAGCTATGGCTCAAGGCATTTGTGAGTTACTGTGGCTGAAAATTGTACTTGATGATCTCAAAATAAAATGTGAGGGACCTATGAAGCTGCTATGTGATAATAAGTCCGCTATTTGTATAGCTCATAATCCAGTTCAACATGATCGGACTAAACATATTGAGGTCGACCGCCATTTCATCAAAGAGAAACTTGATAGCGGGTTGATTACCACTGAGCGTCAATTAGCTGATCTATTAACAAAGGGGCTTCCTTCAGACAGATTTCAAGAACTTACTAGCAAGCTGGGAATGATAAATATCTATTCCTCAGCTTGAGGGGGAGTGTTGTAAATAATATTGATTTAGTTATTATTTAGTTTTTATTTAGTCATTTATTGTTGTATTGGGCCAAGCCCTTTGTTGTATTGGGCCAAGCCCATTAGGTTAAAAGTAGGTCAAATATTCTCTATAAATAGAGAACCCTTTGTACAGATTATTTACAATTCTAAAATATATCAGAATACCCTTTTTCAAGTATAATTTATATTCCTATGGCAGTTGTGAACCAGGCAAACATGGCAGCGACTGTTTGAAGGACCTCCATTTGTATAGGTCCACTGTTGGAGCACTTCAGTATGCCACCATCACTTGACCTGAAATTTCCTGTTGTATTAATAAAGTCTGCCAGTTTATTATATTTACAACAGCCACTAGAGTCACATTGGAAGGCTGTTAAAACACATACTGTGTTATTTGAAAGGTACAACTATGCATGAATTGCTTCTTGAGCCAGGTGTCAGCCCAAACTTGGTCTCTCTTCGGGCCTTTTGTGATTCTAACTGGGCATCAACCCAGATGCAGAACTATCTCTAGTGCTTGTGTTTTCTTCGGACCAAACTTAATATCTTGATGGTCTAAAAAGCAGCCTCTAGTTGCACATTCCAGTACTAAAATACCGCAGCTTGGCTTTGACACCTCAGAACTCCTCTGGATCCAAACCTCACTGATCTACATGTGCCGGTCACAACTCCAGTTATACACTCTGACAACTTGAGTACAGCCTCTCTCTCTCTCTCTCTCTCTCTCTCTCCAGTTCTCAACAAGAGCTTGATTGTTGCTCTTGTCCTTGCTGAAGACCAACTTGCTGATGGTATTACCAAGCTATTGTCCTAGATCAAGTTCTCTAGTCTAAAAGACAAAATCAGGGTGTATGATTAACTTACAATTTCTTTATCCACCCTTGAGTTAGAGAGGAGAGTGAGGGCTGTAAAGTGTAGTTGTGTTCTGTATCTAATATAAATTATTTCATAGCAAGTGCTCAGAATCAGAAGAAAATAACAAAAAACACGCTTTTAAAAAATACTAAGTTATCTCAGTTTTCTCTCTTATGTTCTAAACTTTTTCTCTCTGTTTCTTTCATTTTTTTCGTCAATCACTAGTTTCAATATTCTGTGACAACAAATCAGCTATCAGCATTGCCCATAATTTGGCTCAACATAGTAGAAGTAAACATGTTGAGATGAACCAGCTTGTTGCAAGGAAAAACTAGATATTGGATTTATCAACACAACTTATGTTTCTTCAATGGTTTAGCTAGCAGATATGTTAACTAAAGGACTGCCTATAGAGAGGTTTCAAGATCTTACTAGCATGTTGGGAATGATAGATATCCATTGACCAGTTTGAAGAAGACTGTTGTAAATATTAAAGGAATAATTGTGCAATTATTGTAGATTTTTTTTTCCTTTTATAAGACATTTGATAGGACGGATTATAGAGCATATTTATTTATTTTGTGTTTCCCAAGAATTAAATATTATGAAAGTAATTACTCACATCTATCTATATATTGTAACACTTTGTACTTGAATATTTAAGTAATAATCAGTATTTTTCCATTCCAGTCATTATTATCATGTATTAACAACATGGGAATGGCTTCTCTCATGATTATTCATGGTTAAATACTTAAACCTGATTCTATACCGACAGCAAAATGGATATCATCTTGTGCAGATGAAAAATTAGACAAAGTCATCATCTTTAGAAAAGAATATTTCCAAATGAATCGATTGTGATAAATGAACAAAAATTTCTTGCCCTACACTACCTTGGATTTGCATTTTCTATGCATGTAGGAGTGACAATCTTTGTCACCACAGGTCTACCAACTGTAAGGGTCCCTGTTTTATCGAACACAACTGTGTTTACCATGGCAAACTTCTCTAGAATGTTTCCACCCCGCAAGAGTAATCCTTTCTGTGGTGCAAGAAGAAAAGATTCAGGTTTGACACATTAAGTGATTGGAGGACTACTACACTGCTATGATAAGGAAATGGAGAAAAAAGTAATTGGTTTCTTCAACAACAGCATATTAAGTTGGCCTTATGTTTATCTCATTAACTTACTGTTGTCTTACTTCCAACGAAACCCTTTCATCTCCTTGAACTTTACATTTGTTCTTTACCTCTGGGGGATTGAAGCTTTTTGAAGTAATAGTTTTTTCTACAAAAGATGGTTAGTGGGTTTATTAGTTTGGAGAAAGGATAAGGAAATTTCTCCCTAAACTGTTTTTCTCGTTGGGCAGTGACACTGCTAACTCGATGAGGAAGTTTGTTAGACTTGTTTGTTGCTTGTATGGTAAAATCAGTTATTATTAGAGTATATACACAGGATATGTATCTTTATATTGTATTGTATTTTTCTCTGTATCAGTATATACTATATAGTAGGTGTATCAGTATCCTGCAGCTGTGTAGTTGTATGATTATATCAGTAGCAGTAGTGTTGTATCTGGTGTGGCAGTACCTCGACTAGCTTTGTTAGCCTAGCTGGCATTCTGCTGTTCAGTTACAACAGTTACCAGACTACTTAGCTTGCTGTGCAAGTCTTCTGCACTTCTATATATAGTCATCTCTGTATACGGAGAGTCTCATGTTCAATTGTATCCAAGAATTCACGAAGGCTTTTTCTTTCCCTCTCTTTATTCTGTCTCTACTTTCTCTCATTGTCTTTTGTTTTCTCTCGACTTCCTTTAGTTATGGATGTTTTACTTTCTTTGACAGAGAAAGTTACTCCAAATAACAAATTGACATTTCAAACAAGACTTAAAATGATATCTTAGTTTGACTTGAAGTCCAAATAGATATACTTAATGATTTTATGTTATTTTTTAAATCTATAAATTTATTATTAAATCTTATTAGGTGAAAAACATAATTGCTCTAATACCAATGTTCAAGCTCTCATTATAATTAGGGTCTATATGGTTTGTGACCTATGATTTACTGCTTGCTTCTTTCATCATTTCTTGTTGAGGCTTTAGTAGGTGTATGTATGCACTTCTCCTTACTCCTGGATTGGCCACATGATTACTAGGACAGACTTAAGTACCTTCTTACCATCGATTTGGGATTTTTTGGCTTGGTTTCCATATATGCACACTAGAAAGAACCCTTAGATAGTTAGAGTGAGGACCTTGAGGATTTAAGGCAAGGAAAATTTTAGTGTTTTGAATGGGCAAGGAGGTTATCATGGTTTAGGATTGTGAGAAAGCAAGAAGCAGAAAGTTAAGGCTATGTTATGTGGCTGTGCATGCTTGAGTCTTGACTCGAAAGTTTCCAATGTTGAAGGATTAGGACTTTACTACCAATACCAGTTTACTAGGACAAAAACTTGTCAAATGGATTCACCTATTCGTAGTTTCTAATTATCAGTACCAAACTAAAGATATTTCAATTCAAATGATTCACCTATTAGTAGTTCCAGCTGAGACTATGCTTTCTTAATAAATGTTCGGCAATGATATGTTCTGCAGTTTCTCCTTTTATCTTTGTATTAAAAAGATGCCTACAAAAAAATGGTTTTTGTTATTGAAGAAATTAGTGGTGTCATGCAGTCACTATGAAAAACAAGTTAGTCCTGTAGATATCTCAATGCAAGCATCTACCTCTTAATGAATCAACTGTGATCACAATCTCGTATTTAATGACTGATTATGACAGTCTTCTGTAGTTTTTTCCTATACCTTTGTAATGAAAGGATGAATGTAAGAACTCTGGTTTTAAGAAAATGGCGGTAGCATGCGTTCCGCATCAAAAACAAATTAGGAGTATTAATTTGTGGGATGTGTAGATTTTTTGTTGATTACAATCAGAGTATGATTTTGCTGAAATTTATGAGCAAATTTTACTGATATTAAAAAGTTTGTTCTATGCCAATGAGGCTTGGCTTAATTGGTAGGATCAAATAATACTGACAAAAAGGTAGGTTTGATTCTTGCTGGTGTCTTTCGTTCTTAGGTCATCTGTAAGTACCATGTAAGCTTTCAGTGAGGATTGTGGCATGTCCCAACCTTGGAATGAGGCTACCTACCCTTAAAATTTTGTTCACCAAACAAAAAAAATCTTGTTCTATCACAGTATCCCCCCTGCCAATAATCTGATATTGTAATATGGTGAATATGAAATGTGCATTTAATTGTTGCTTCCATCTACAAAATCTCTCCAAGTATTGATTAACGTTGTTACTGGATCATGTTACAGGATCTGAAGCTATGTTTGCAGATCTTTGCTACTTCTCTGTGCGATCAGTTCAGGTAATGAATCATGTCTATGTTATAACCATCATGGCTTCTGTTTCTATTTCTTTTACTTCCTTTATCTTCTTATCAGCTAATATATTTATGAAACTGATGGTGGTCTGTTTGTAGCTTACATTTGTATTTCTTGTTTTGCCGTGCCTACTATTGGGTTATTTGGGTCAAGCTGCATACCTTATGGAAAACCATGCTGATGCTGGTCAAGCCTTTTTTTTCTTCTGTTCCAAGTAAGTGTTAGTGTATATTTGCTTCTGCACTAGTGTTTAGCATTGTTTACGGTGGCATGTCTTTGCCCTTTACAGAATCTTCGCATAATACTATTCTGTTTCTGCAGGTGGTGCATTCTGGCCAACTTTCCTTATTGCTAACATTGCTGCACTAATAGCAAGTCGGACTATGACAACAGCCACATTTTCTTGTATAAAACAGTCAACTTCACTTGGTTGTTTCCCCCGTCTTAAAATAATTCACACATCTCGGAAATTTATGGGCCAGATCTATATCCCTGTCATAAACTGGTTTCTCTTGGCTGTTTCTCTGGTGTTTGTCTGCACTATATCCAGCGTTGATGAGATTGGAAATGCATATGGTAATGATTTTGCTCCAATTTTTTATTTTTATTTCCACAGATAATTTTGTCAAATTTATCAGCAACATATATATATGGGTAATAGTTTTCTTATGTTGTAGAAGATATGTATTATCTCCTACACACTCATTGGTACAGGTGGGGTCCATTTTTAAGGGAAGAGAGAGAAAAAGTAAAGTGAGATCCATTTTGAGTTTGTGTGTGTAGGAGATAGATTATATTTTATGCAACATAAGAGTAATAAATCCCTATATATATATATCACCTGTGTAAATAATGTCACATTTTCAATTAGGGATCAACTAAATAGAATAGGCTGCTTGAGTTGCTTATGGTGCTGCAATTACTTGGAAAGGCATTGAACTTCTCCCTTATTATCCTGGATATCCTCAACTCTTGTTTTAGAGGATCCAATTTGCTTTGAGAAACCTGCTGAGTGTTTGAAAATCATCATTGCGCAGTTTTTCAAACACTTGCTTGATGCTCAGAAAAATGACATTCTGTACAAATATAGATATAGATACTTCTATCTGCAAGACTTTTTAAAAGGTGGTGGCTATCATTTTATTCCAAATGGATTTGTCTGAACATTGCTCCTTTTTTTGGTATATCAGAAAAATGACATTCTGTACAAATATAGATATAGTAAATGTTCTTTTTCAACTGGATTGTTATCATTATACTTGCAAAATTATTTTATTTCTCAACATTAGCATCTATTATGGCTGAAGCTGTCTGTGTGTTGTATGATGTGTGTCTGTTTTCCTAGTAAGTGTAGAACTGACTGCTACAAGAGAGTTGAGATATTTAATAGTTTTGGGAGACGGAAGTTATCCCATTCCAAGGTTAGGATATGTACAAGCTTCCACGAGGGATTATTATGCTATTTGGTCCTCCCGGTTGTACCCACCCTCATTGACCAAATATTGCTGTTTAATTCAGGGAAACACTTTCACCTTGAAGTTTGAATTTGTAAAATGAATAGATCAATAATAATTTGATTTTGCAAGCTTAGATAGGGGGAGGGTGTTGAGCTTTCTTTGGTTGTTAGGCACTGAACTCACATTTGTTAATACTGTATTATATTTAATATTTAGTGTATTTGTTTTCAGCTGTTCGTTTGTCGTCTTTCAGGCATTGCTGAGGTGGGGGTGATGATGATGACCACTATTTTAGTAACTCTTGTTATGCTCCTTATATGGCAGATACACATTATCATAGTGCTGATTTTCTTGGTGGTCTTCTTGGGATTGGAGTTGACTTTCTTTTCGTCGGTTTTGTGGAGTGTAACAGATGGAAGTTGGATTATATTGGTCTTTGCCACAATAATGTTTTTTATAATGTTTGTATGGAATTATGGAAGTAAGCTCAAGTATGAAACTGAAGTCAAGCAAAAGCTTTCAATGGATTTAATGCGAGAATTAGGCTGCAATCTTGGGACAATTCGTGCTCCTGGGATTGGTTTGCTGTATAATGAGTTGGTCAAAGGAATTCCGGGAATTTTTGGGCATTTTCTAACCACACTTCCAGCAATACACTCTATGGTCATATTTGTAAGTATCAAGTATGTTCCAGTTCCGATGGTGCCTCAAAATGAAAGGTTCCTTTTTCGGCGAGTCTGCCAGAAAAGCTATCATATATTTCGTTGTATTGCCAGGTAAGAAGCAACGTTTTATTTTTTACTTTTATTTTATTATTTATTTATTTATTTTGTTTTTGCATTTTGGGATATTTGTGTATTGTGTACCAGTATTATATCAGTGGAGGTGTGAACTTACTTCCAGGCTAAGCGGTTTAACTTAGGTAAAGCTGGATGGATGTGAAAAAAGAAGCTCTAAGTGGTTTAGAAACACGTGCTATTGCTTTACATTAACATTTCTCAAAGTAATAATTTAGTGAAATTATATAGGGAAAATTAGCGAAGATGGGATTCTTTGCAAAAACATTTATAATTCCGAAACAATTATAAGTTGTTTAGTAAAATAATGTTATACATTAGTCACTCATTCGATGTAGTTATATTTGGGTAGTTATTTGCTCATACCCCAAGATATCCTTTTTGTAATTTTCCCAATAATATATACTATCCTTGTGATTAAAATGTCTTATTTTATAAGTTTGATCTGAACTTTTATATCTCAACAGGTATGGGTACAAAGATGTGCGCAAAGAAAATCACCAGACTTTTGAGCAGCTGCTGATGGAGAGCCTAGAGAAGTTTATACGTCGTGAGGCTCAGGAGAGGTCACTTGAGAGTGATGGGGATGATGATACTGATTCAGAGGATGAGTACTCAAGGGTTCTCATAGCTCCCAATGGGAGTGTTTACTCACTAGGTGTTCCTCTTCTGGCTGATTTTACGGATACAAGCAATCCCATTTTTGAAGCAAGCACATCAGAGGAGGTAATAAGGCCAGCGTCTCCTAAATCCCCAGTGCTTGATGCAGAGCAGAGTCTTGAAAGAGAGTTATCTTTTATTCGCAAGGCTAAAGAATCTGGAGTGGTTTATCTTCTTGGTCATGGGGATATTAGGGCAAGGAAAGACTCTTGGTTTATGAAGAAGCTAGTTATAAACTATTTTTATGCCTTTCTGAGAAAGAACTGCAGAAGGGGGATCACGAATTTAAGTGTACCCCATTCACATCTGATGCAAGTTGGCATGACTTACATGGTTTGACCATCAATTCTACAATCCAAATAAAACAAATGCCACGTAATTTGGAATTCTAGTTTGGTAGCAACGAGTGGATCACGTTAAGGTCTCATTTTGGAATGCTCTTTGCTTGATCATCACTTCTTTTGCTGAATATCTTTCCAGCTCATCATCTGGAAAATTCTCTGTGGTTCCTTATGGCTGTGCGCTTGCACTGTGGATGTCTGGGATTGGAGTAGGCTGAGAACAGAAAGAAACAGATATATGTAAAATTATATCATTAAAAGAAATTGTAGATCGCCATGTACACCTTATGGTTGCGTCAAATTCCACTTCAATGTGGTAAACACCGAGTTTTGTACACCAACCATCTTAATTGAGATAAATTTCTTTAGTTTACTTTAACTTCTTGCCGAGTCTCATCTTTGACGTCGCATTTTAGTGATTGAAATTGAACCTTAAGTAGGGTCATATTTTCTATTTGAAATAATTTACTGTTGTGCCATTCCCTTGGTTATGATGCTTCATAATCGATCTGAAATTTTTCCCTTTCCCTAGTTGCTAGTTGGTAAATTGAGAGGGAAGCATAGTTGGAACAGAATGCTATATAAATAGATTTAGAATTTTCATATTCCACTTGGATGCATAAATTTCCTATTTATATTTTTATTTCATCTCCCCTATCCATTATATAGTTTTATTTGAATTTATAGGTATTATAAAAAAATGACTAAATTTGGAGATATTTTGAAGACAGAAATTTAAAAGGATTTTTTATTCAAACCCAAAACTTATTCAAATTTCAAAATTCATCAAAATAATCAAACAGTTTACCTTCATTAAAAAATTAAGGAGTTAGCGAGTTTGATGTTTATCTTTTTAAATGACATAAATTATACCATTTTAAAGAAAAGAGAATGGAAATCATGAGAAAAAAGTGGGTGAATTTTTTTTAATTTAAATTTTTTAAAAAAATATTTTTTTATGTTTATCTCTATCTTAAAATGATATAATTTTATGTCATTTAAAATGAGAAACACGAGTTCAAAAGCCTAACTTAATCTTTAAACATTAGAAGACCCATGGTATAATGGACCCGTCATCGGTAAAATGTTGTTGCCGCAGAGAAAACTCCCAAAAAGAGACCAAGTTCCATTGAGAATTAATGAGAAGTATCTTGAAAAAATCTAGCTCATCACATCAATTGCTTGATTATTTACCCACTTCTCTTTGATGGTGTAATTCTTTCATTTTTATACATTCGGTTTTTGGTTAGTATCGATTTCTTTTCATCCTTCAGATGACCACCACAAGATGGAAGGGTAGAAGTGTATACTCCTGCCATGCTCCACCTGGTCACATCAGGACGGGGAACCTCGTTTCCGCTGTGTTAGTGCGTCTCCATCTATCATCTAATATGGATACTTTATTTTCTGGTTTTGGTGTGCCAGACCAGAATCCACACGAATTTTGGTCTTCTTTGGCAATGTGCCACGTATTTGTTTCTGCTTTGAGGAAAATTTGAATCTCAAAAGTAACGAGTTAGTCATTACGCCAATGGAACTGAAACCCATGAGAGCCCCTGCAATTGATGGAGTCAGCATAGTCCCATTTATAGGAAATAAAACTCCAGCTGCGATTGGAATCCCTACCTGTATAAAGATAGAAGTATAATTACACCATGACAGTTGAATAACGAGAAAATTATAAAATACTTTTGAGTCAAGAGATTCCAAAATCAAAACTATGAATAGAAACATTGAAAAAAAAAAAAGGTTCAATCAGTCCGAAACTAAGTTGAATTTGGTGAAAGAAATGAACAATCCAATATGACCGAACTCCTAGTTCCTTACAAAATCAGCGTCATGTTGGCCGGGAAATGCTAACAGAGTAAAGAAGGGTAAATCACATTTAATTTAGTTGCTCAGTTATGCCTAAAAGTTGTGGATATGTTTAAGTAATATTAACTTATAGTATATGATGTAAAAGAAAGCTCAAAATACATAGAACATAAGAAGAAACAATGTTAATAATAGATTTGACAAAAGAAATAAAACAAGTTCAATATCAAAATTGTGACATACATGCATCGAATATTGAAGAAAGCAGAATTTGGATTTTCCCACATAGAAAACTTTTCTTTGTATACTTGGTACTTGGGGGTTTTCTCCTCTCCCTTACACAAAAACCTTGTTATTCATCAAATAAGAAAAAGAAAATAACATGACAATCAGAATTCTTTATTACCTGAAATGTCAACTTGAAAAATGATAAGGTTTATACAGTTATCTTGATGCATACACACAATGAAATGCACAATGGACAGAGTAGCAAGCAGGCAAAGGAGAAGACTGATTATGACCATTTGCGCTAGTTGCTGATAACATTTTTGTTAGCAGTAATATGGTGGTATTGGATGTTAGTCGTTAAAGGATGGTATACTCATGATATTTTGAGATGGAGCGTTGTATTCCTTCAATTAAAGGTTCTTTTATAGATCTATCATAATATAAAAAAATGCTCAGAACATTTTTCACGTTTCAACAAGTAATTTTTCAGGGAAAAACAAAAATCAATTTCTATCAAATGACAAATACGGCAGTAAAATAAGCACAAGGAAAAGTGTTAGTTATACTTCACCACAATCCCTTTTATAATATAACTGTCCTGATCAATTTATATATTTGGACAGCAGAAGAACTTACAATGTTGTATATGAAAGCCCACCAAAGATTTTGTTTCACGGTATTCATGGTTAGCCTGCTAAGCTCCAAAGCATCTAGTAGCTGAATAGAAATAAACAGATTAATTACCTAATATACATTCCATTATCTGAATCAACATGCAAAAAGTATTCTGAGTGCACATAATATCCTAACAAAAGTAAACGCTATTAGCTTTTAGTTACGTGGTTCCTAGTACACGATTGGTTGGGAAAATAGAAAGATAGACTTCAGTAGGACATCCACTATGAAATATAAAGGTTGCTATATTATTTTGCGCATTCATGGAAAAATACATAGACATGTAGGTTTTCTAGAATAGAAACAGAAAGAGACAAAAAATAAGTTTAATAAAAGGGTCAGGGACTACATAGATGTATTTTATGCAAGCCGTCTTCCTAGTGGTGGAGGTTGAACAAAAATTATGGGGGGACAGGGAGATTGCTCAACAAGTAAATTAATTTACAATGACATACAATTGTTTTTTTTTTTTTTTCAAGTTAAGGAGAAAAATCACAAAGGGAAAGGGGGGGGGGGGGATAAGGAATCTTCCTAAGCAAAAGAACAAAGAAAACAACTAAGAAAAATCAGTGGAACAAAGCTAAGTCCCTTTATATGTCTGTCAATGAAACCCCATTAAAAAGGCCGCCACATGCTTTGCAACAAATAGATGCCAAACGCTTAATCTTATCCCAAATCAAATGATGTGCCAAAAAAAACTCATTAAAAATACGAGCACTCCAACCAAATACAACAGCATAGAATTTACAACGTATTGATACTTAAAAGTATCATATCATATATCTAAAATTTAAAAGTTTACAACCATAATCTTTTTTTCAAATAAGAAGCTAAAGTGGGCTTAATGAAAGTGAAATAACTGGGCCTAGAGTGAGGTTCTCATTGTCTAGTCTATGGGAATTGAGAAATGAAACCTACACCCAAAAAATGTAAGGGAGATTAAAAGATGGAGGCTTATGAAATTTTTACATCACATTTGGGGTCCAAATCTTTTTCCTCATGTATCGCTAAGAATTTTTAAAATTTTGGGGAGGTACATGTACATGGCACTCACCTATCATCATGAACCACCACCTGTGAATAACTGTATAAGCAAAAGGGCATGCACATGGAGAAGAAACATGAAAAATGCCCTACTTTTCAGTGCTGAGGAAATGCTTTTTCACACGCCATTTTCACAAACAGTATATTTCTTTTAAACATAAATTTTATGGTTGACAGATGAAGTCAAATAATAAAATGATGCAATAAATTGAAGAAAATAGAAGCAAGATAGTTTTTGAGAAAATATATGGAAGCTTTAAACAAACTAGAACTAAAAAAAGGCAAATAACAATTACCTGTGAGAGCTGGTTGCGCATCAATACAATAGAAGATACCTCACTGGCAGCTCCAACACCTCCACCTAGTGCAATACCAATATGTGAAGAAGCCAGAGCAGCTGCATCATTAATTCCATCACCAACCATAGCTATAATGTTATTATCTTTCTGTAGTTCATTTATGAACTTCTTTTTCTCGTCTGGTTTCACTTCAGATATCACCTGCAATTGGCAAAATAAGACTTCGAATAGCCAAAAAAAAATTCCATGTACTTAAAAAATATTAACTAGCAAAGAAGTATTTTTGGTGCATAAGGATTCAGACCCAATACATATATCCAAACCCCAAATAGTCAGCAAAAGACTGATATGTCACAAGGTGGGAATATATTACTAAAACATTAGTCCCACAGGGTTTCGCAGGGTAAATTTAACTCAAATGCCTGCCATTAGTCTACTTCAAATAGTTGCAAGTTTCTGATATACAAAATATAAAACTTCTTTTACCAAAATAAATAAATAAATATAAAACTTCACGTGTTTAAGCATGGGAGGGTCACAAACATTTACAAAGTGTTTAGCTCCACCTTTTATTCTATCATAAAAAATAAACAAGTAAAAATTTCTCACTAATCAACCAATTGATGACTCAATGCTGCTGAAGATAATCATTTACAGCTGGGAGATTTGATTATGGAGAAAAAGCAACCCTCAGCTCTCAGCCCCTCTTCAATGGAGTAACATCTTCAACATGACAATGACCATATGTAGACTGCTGTTTTCCTAACAGTTATCTAGAAATTCTTAGTATGGAACCACCAAAAGCCCAACCTTACCCGCCCTCTTATTTATGAAATATTATGTTGTACGTTGAAAACCATTTACCTTCTCTTTGGGAATTCCAACATGGGATGCAACATACTCAGCCGCATTCCTTTTGTCTCCAGACAGCATGTATACACCAATATCTTGCTTAGACAATGTGTCAATAACGTGTCTTGCATCTTCCCTTATCTCATCTTCAAAATAAATTAGGCCAGCTAGAGTCTCATTGACCCCAACATAGACAAAGGATTGGTTTTTACACTCATCCATTTCTTGATGTATACTGTTGTTAACTCCACACCTGCACAAAGGAAATTACCTGCTGAAGCTTTGAAATTAATAAAAAAAAAAAAAATTCTAAAAGAAAAAAAAAAATGTTTGTTAGAGAACAATCAAAGCTACCCTCCAGTCTCTTAATGAAGTGGATTAGGTCTAAAGCAAGTAACACCAATACGCTGCAATTAATTGAAAGAAATACATCCTTTATAATAAATTAATAAGAAATATTAAAAATTTTTGAGGTACATCTTATCCTGTGTATCTTTGAACCATGATCAAAGAATTAAATACTCAATTTACCTGGTAATCCATTCCAATGTCCCAACAGAAACCTTTTTATTATCAATGGTTGCTACTGCACCAGATCCAGGTTCTTCCAGGAATGTTCCATCTGCTACCTGCAAATTTTGTGGTAAGGCTTAAGCTGAAAGTTGTATCTTCATCAATTTTAGGACAAGCTGACGAACATACTACCAATAGGTTCTATTCTACAGAGCCCGTTAGTATACCAGACTACCAAAATTTTATATACAGTGTCTACTAATCAGTCAGTCTCCTATAGATAGCATATGCTGACTGTAAACGGGTAGCTAATATAATACAAAGTGTAGTACCTATTGACATATCTTCTAGAAAAAGATAGCGACTCAATTGCCAAACAGATCATGTAATGTTTATGTCAACAAGGGAAGAACAGATAGAGCAATGAGATAACCCCAAATGAGGAGAACAGAATTCAAATCATCAATGTAGAAGAGAGATTTGTTAAAGAACGTTCTATTTATGCATGATTTACAATCTTTAATATTAGGATAAGAAAACTAAAAAATTAAGTAATTAAGGAAAATAATACCAATAAAATCCTAATTATTTACCGCATACAGACCCTAATAAATAGGCATAAATAGGAGATACTTTCCAACAATCAAGAAATAAAATGAGAACCTTAGCATTATGACAATTAACTGCCTGAGCAGCATCTACAATCGCTCTCCCAACTGGATGTACCGAATTTGATTCTACCCCAGCTGCTAACCTCAGAACTTCAACATCAGACAAAGCATTTTCTTCAGTTTGGCTGCACTAAAAAGGGAATGTTATTTACCATTTAGATAATATCCCAAAAGTTTAAACTATTAGGTGAAGAGACATGAACGATTTTATATTACACCCCTCCACATTACACTCCTTCATGCAAGAACCCTTTGGTTCCTTTGTTAACTAGGATACATTTTAGTGTTGTTAACTAGTTTATACATGACCAGGGGTGAGACTCTTACAGGTAACGGACAAGTTCATATAGAATCTTAAAGCTAAACCAGACAGGGGATCATAATTCAATAGAGGTGGAAATCCATTCATAGGAGTATTTACAAATTTTAGCTATGCAGGATCAGTTACTGATAGGAGGTCAATATTTGGTAAATGTATGTTCTCGGGTGGAAATTTATTTACCTGGAGGAGCAAGAAACAAAATATTATCATTTGATCAAGTGCAGAAGCCGAGTTTCGGCCTATGGCCCAAGGATTTTGTAAGTTACAATAGATGAAGATGGTTATATGGGATGTCTTTTTTTTTTTTTTTTTGGAAATACAAGGAAATAAAACAAGAAACATTAGAGACGGATCATTCTGGGTGTAGTAACACCCCTTAAGTCATTCTGGACCAGCATCCAACATTCTTTGGGAGGGTTATGCAGAACCTGCACTCCCCTACCTTGACTAAAAGCCATATTCGCGAGTTTATCAGCAACTTGGTTTCCCTCTCTGTGGACGTGAGAGATCATCACCACCCAGTCCCTCCATATAAGCTTCCGAATTTTGTTGACAAGGTTGTAAAAGGGTTTATTCCTATCAGCTCTAGACCTAATGAGGCCAATAGCAGTAACCGAGTCTCCTTCAAGACAAATGTTCCTCATCCCGTAAGGCCAGGCTATCTCCAACCCAATGAGGGACCCCCATAGCTCCGCCATCAAAGAGTTTCCAGTCCCAATGTTCTTAGTGAAGCCCAGAATTCATCTACCCGCGTCATCACGACAGACACCTCCACATCCCATCATCCTGCTATTCTGCTTGTACGCACCGTCAGTGTTGATCTTCATAAAGCCTTGACTTGGAAAGTTCCACCTGATTAGGACTTCCCACTTGGGGCTAGGGTGAATGCCAGCCTTCTGAAGGATGGCGTCTGATTGGTCCATAGTCGCTAAGAAACCAAGAGCACGAATGGCAGTAGCATTATTTGCATCAATTCTTCCATTAAAGACCAGATTATTCCTGCACCAGGTTTCGCATCTAGGACAAAAATGTGAATGATATCTGAGGGTGATATGACAAGTCTGAGGGTGATATGAGTCTCATATTGTTCGTCATCAGGTTGCTGCCAATCAAGAGCCAGAGAAAAATCTTGATTTTTTGAGGGCCATGCCAGTCCTAAGCCAGGGACCAATTGACCGGATTGTTTCCCAGTGTCTTATGACTGATTAGATTGTATGCAGATTTAACTGAGAAAACACCATCATTAGTGAGATCCCAGGTTACACAATCATCCCCGTCGTCAGGCATTGGAGGAACTGTCCCAGCCAGAAGTTTCAAGATGTGTTCAGGGAGAATGTTTTGGATCAGGGCCCAGTTCCAGTCACCCATTCCTGTGGTATAATCTGCCACCTTTCAGTCCTTCACCTCATCAGGGATCGATTCTAAAGCCAAATTGATCAACTTGTCAGTTTGAGGGAGCCATTTTTCGAGCCAGAAGTTTGTCGTCCTCCATCTCCCACCAGTATCCTGGACCCAGTGGTGATGC